TAGAAACAACGCCAGTTGTGCTTATCAGCTGCAGAGGAGGGAACTGGGCCAACACAAAGAGAGGCAAATAGGAAGCAGGGATAAAAACAGGCAACAAATTGAACTCCTTGTTAAAAGAAGCTGCCATCTCTGGCTTCCTAATTTTACTGAAATCCTGAAAGTAGTCGCTCGCAGATTTCATTTTATTCCAGCTTCAGTTGTAATGAGCAATGTTAAGTGCATCTTGCTTTGCTAACTGACATTTTAAAATATCTGGCTGGCAGTGGTGATTATTTAGGGGACTGCAGTGAGCCAGTGCCTCCCCCTTCAATTTCAGACAGTAGATACCCATTGTTGAATTCAATGGAGTATGATTGGCGATATAAGTTGTCATGCTTGATATTCCTGATGGGCTGCACACTGGCTGATATGGGAACAAAAAACTGCTCCTGAAATCATGCATCCTTGTAAATGCAACTTCCCTTTTCACTTTTTGCTTAATAACTGTGCAAGCCCAGATTTCAGAGTTGCTGATTGTTACTGACCTAAGCAAGTTTCCCTGACCTTAGAAGGATCAAAGAGTTGATCCTTCTGGCACTGATTGCAAGCATTTTAACTCCTGAGTTCTCTTCCTTAAATTCCCACTTCCAAGTACCTGGTAGATGAACAGGAAGCTCCAGGAGTGAGAACAAAGCATTGGTTCCTTGTGCCATGGCTGTTCCTGCAGCTCTGAAGCCCTAAAACAGGACAAGAGATCTCCTCCACACTCCTGAAGCCACATTTCCTTGCTGGCCATGCAGCTTGTTTCCAGCCGAGCTTTGTCTCCAGCTCCAGGAGATCTGTGCCTTCACTCCCTCTGGGCCCCAGGTGAAAGATGTAAATGGGGAGCCCTTCACAGTCAAATTGAAGCTGTTATGCAGTGGGATGTGTTTCTAGAATTGTGACATGCCATCCATTCACACTTGTTGACTGTGCTCCATAAGCCCATTCTCTTTGCACTACACGTAATGCTGAAAAGTAGGAGAAACTATCTTAGCACATTCCCAGGCAGGCAAGGCCAATACCATCATCTTGAGCAGGAACACTTCAATTGTAAGGAATTTTCTGGAGTGACAGGAACATTAAATTAGGTAGTTTATTTATTTCAGCAGCAATATTTTTCCTCTCATTAAAAGTATAAATTCAAATAGTTTATGAAGAGGGGATTCAATGGTGCTTGGGTTTCTACAGAAAATAATTTACACGTCTGTGTTGGGTTTTTTTGTTGGTTTTTTGTTTTTTGTTGTTGTTGCTGTTTTTTTAAATGTTAAATTTATGTTTTCCCTAAGTAAGTTTGGACACATGACTAGCCAAGAATGTCTCCCTTGGCCAACTTAATCTCTGTTCCTTTTTGGCACAGTTCGGATAAAATAACTTAGGTTGGGCAAGAGATAGGCCTCCCGAATTTTGGGCTTAATGAACACAAGAAGTACAAAACAGACAATTTTGGCAGATTTCATTGTAACACTTGAAAATGTTTGTTTTTTCTCGTATCAAGCTTGTGCAGAGGGTAGAAGTGTTTGGTGAATTTGTCTCGTGCTAGAATTACACTTTCTATTTATATAATCAACATTAGGTCAGTTGTTTATAACAGAATTAATGGTCTTGTTTATACAGTGTTCAGCTTTTATACATGTAACTCTTCTCTCCTTCCATTTTCAGGTTAGGGTATTGTTTTGTTTTTCTGCATGATACACAATTGAAGCAAAATGTGTTGAGCATGTGTGTGTTATTCCGGACTTTATTAGAATTCACTACTTGTATGAAATATAACAATATGTGGATGCGCTCTTATAAACCATGGTCAGAGGGGTTTTGTGCGTGTTTTTTTTTCTCATCATCATAACTTTCCTTTCTGCCAAGATGTTTTTGGCAGTTTTTAAAAGGTTTGCCATTAAAAATGTTATGGACCAAATGGTTTTTTTAAACTTTATTGAGGGCACTACTTAAACAAAGGAAGAGTTGGCGCAGAACTCATTTCAGCAGAACTTTGTTCTGGAAAGTGTTGATATCTGGAAAAGAATAAGCAAAGACAACAAAACAGTAGGAATGACACTGAAAGCAATTTTAAAAATGAATTAGAAAACCCCTTGTAAAAGGGAAGTATTTTTGCTTCTGTGCTTGTCACCTCAAGTGTACAGGAAAATGTACCAGAGACAGCATTCCCTCTCCCTATCCCCCTCCTCTTACTTATCTTTTTTATTCTTTTTTTTTCTTTTTTTAAAAATATATATGTATTTATACTGCATAATACATGATGTGGAACTTCCAATCTATGTCATTATTTGAGCACGTACTTGTGATCCTTATTTGCTAAGGACAAACAAAGATACAGTGCAGCACAGTAGCAAACTGCAGCTTTGCAATTGTTGATGAGCTTGACTGCTCCTGAAGGACTGCAAGTGTTTATTTCAGTTTTCCTGCTAACATTTTGGATATGTTTATCTTTCCCGTAAAACTACGCACCCATCTAAACTTGCTTCTGAAAAGTTCACATGCCAGTATTTAATAGCAAGAGCAGTATCTTAGAAGAATGAAATGAATTTGATGGCTACATTTTTTTTCTCTTCCAGAGCAAGAACTTACTCTTCGAGAAGATTAACGGTGGTCCAAAAAGAAGAAAGAGGGTAACTATCGGAATAATTTATAGCTCCTTTATCTTCTAAAGTGCTAATAAGGATAAAATCATGCTGTTGAAATGAAGTTAGTCTAATGTGTCTGCATTACACCTCAGGTAGTTGTAAAGTCAGGAAGTTTCTGTGATAAACTGCTGCAGCTCCATGGAGTGCAAGATGTAATTTTCTACATAACATGTTGTGTTCAGAAGCCACGCTTCAATGCAAAGCATTTGTTCACAAACTTTGTATTATTTGTGGAGATTCTGATTGCATAAGCCCACTTGAAATTCTTTAAGTTTCTTTAAAACCAAATAAAATGTTTCCTATTAAAAATATTGGCAAAATTAATCACCTCTTCTCATTCATTTCAATATTCTTTTGGTGTGAATAGCAGCAGATTTTGCTCTTAAGCCAATGTCATTCCATTGACTTGCACACCATGATGCAGCTCAGCGTTAAACTTCCAGCTCCATGTCCCACTTGCTGTTTAGAGCAGGAGGAGGGCATTCCTCACCTTGCCAGCCCCAGCACAAGGGAGGACGAGGTGAATGTTTTGGAGAATTTTTGCACTGTTCACACCACTGCATTCTCTCTTTCTTTTTTCAGCAGTGTTAGTCTGTCCTTTATCAAGCAATCCCTTCCACACTCACAGATCACTTCACAGATTCTTTAGTTTTGCTGATGGTGTATTTTTCACAAGAAGAAAACTTGACTTTACATTAGGAAGCCTAACTCTCTGTCAAAAAGTAGCTTTGTAAAATATGACAGCACAGTTTATACTGCAAATTAAGTCACATTGAGTTGAAATGTTCGAAGTGCAAGGGAAGGTGATTTATTGATTGATTTATTTGTTCAGTTTGCTTCACTCTCAAAAGTAAACTTTTTGCCAGAAAGGGATGGGCTGAATTCTCACTGGTAATAGACGTGATTTGATCATAAGTTAGTGATCTGCCTTACCTCACTGTCTGCCTCCCACTTATGCTTAATTAATTTTCAAGTTTGTTAATAGAAAAAGTGCGGGCACCTTATTTTAAGTCTTAAGTAGAATTTACTCTTGAAACAGGAATATTTACTGCTCATTAAAACAGCATAATAAATGCAACACAGGCACAAGAAAAATGCACATTTTTTGTTTGCATGCTGACTGGTGTAATCAGACAGATACCAAAGGAATAATGGCTGAAGACACATGATAGCCCTGCAGCCAGGGACAGCCCAGCATTTAGGAGATGAACCTTCTAGCTTTGCAGCAAATTTATTTTCTTAGCCCAGTGTATCATTTAGATGTAAATTTATTATAATTGCAAAAATTTCTCAATTATTTGGAGAGCAATACTGTAATGGTTACTTACGCTGCAATAAACAATTTGGAATTTTCACTGCATCAACAGATGGGCAGCATAGGGGTGAGAACAGCAGAGTACTGGGCTTGATTGTAAAGAGCCCACCTGCCCCTCCTCCTACCCCCTGCGCTCCTGTTGGTGCCCTCTGCTCAGCAGAGCTTGCTGAGGATATCTGCTGCAACGGACTGCTCTTTGGGATCAGAACAGTCCCATTTTTAGACTAAAGCATGTCACATTTGGAGTTGGGCTGTCCACAGAGAGTGAAGGTGTTGTATCTATACAGTGCTGTGCAGGGGGGCAAAGGGGTTATACAAAACTACATATTCTGAGTTTATATACATATACTTACGTGGATACATATAAATATACATCTCCCCACACATATACACACCTATGTTTCTTGTATATAGTAAGTACATGTTTGCTATTTGCTACTGTGTCAATTATTTGCACTTTGCAGAGTAAATGAGGCAGCCCCCAGTGACTTCTAATTTAATCAGCGACTCTCCCTTTGCTGAAAGTGGGCTCAAGCACACTCCCATCCATAAGCTGGGGTCCTCAATGGCTGACAGTTCTGTAACAACAGAGTTACATTGGTGTGGGCTTGGAGCTATGCACAAAGGTACTCACGACCTCCGCTGCTTTGAGTTCAGTACAGCTGTATGGAATTAAAAAAAATTTATCCATATCAACCAGAATTTATGCATTATATTTTGTGTTCTCTTTTGTCTGCTGGGGATTCATTTTTTTAATGTATTCTCATTCTCTTCTACTTTATTTCAAAAAGTAGCTAGCGAGTACCAGTCCAAAAAAAGACCAATTAATCTTCCTAAGAATCTTCAAATAATTCCTAGAAGTTTATGCAACAGCTGAATTTCACTAAATTAACATTAAACAGAACTTCTTTTAACAAACACAAACAAATTATTTACATGTGTCTTATTTTTAACAATTTAGAGCATTAAATTAGTGTTAGTTTTATGTTCAAAGATTTTTCCACATTCATTTCTGGTTCTTACCATTTTTCTGTTTTCACTTGTAGCAAGCAGAGCATTCAGAAACAATACAACAAAGCAAAAGGGCTGCTCTGTGCTCTGAACAACCATTAATGATCTCTTCCCCAAATACAGACAAATCCAAGGGCTTAGGCACAAATAGAGACAAATTACAAAACTTTTCCCACTCTGACAGATAATTAATTGAAAATAAATATTTAGTGCATTTATTAGGACTATATATATATGTATGTACACATATATACATTTGCCTTATTATGAACTCACAGGTTTTAGTAAAAGAAGCATCTCAGGAAAAGTAGTTTCTAAGCTGCAACAGCACAATGAAAATCAGGCGATACTGGAAAAACTGCATTCCTCCAAAGTTTATAGTTGGAGAGGCAAATAATTTTTATTGTCATCAAAAAGCAGCACTAAATTTTTTGTCTATATCTGTGAAGAAGAGAACATATATTTGAATCTTGTTTACACAGATACAGTGGGTATAAATAATACTTAAGTTTATTTTCGAGTTCTGCAAAATGGCTTGATACTTGAGAATACAAGTTAGCACATTTCATTTCATTGGCATAGACAAAATTAAAGCAGAGGCTTTCTACATGACCGTGATGTCCAAACAGTATGAGACAAGGTCTGTTCATCTTCAGTCTCACATTGGGCTGCTTACATGGCGCAAAGTGAAGGCAGACCCGTGCCAGGGATCTTCTTTCCAGCATTCCCTCCTTCTGGCAGTGGTATGAGGCCATTTTCTACGCCAAGACCCTCACTTGGCTCTGCTTCTGGGCCAGCATTTCTTTTTCCTTTTTTATCTCTGCATCAAGAAAGGAAGCAAATACGGGTTTCCCAGTGAGGAGATGGGCTGAAGAAGAGACATCAGTCAAAGCTGCTGTGGTAACTATATTTTCTCCCAGCTTGAGGTCCACCAGGGAACAATGATTTAAGCTGAAGCGTACCTGTATGCTCCCATTGAGTTTTGTCCTACCTTGAGGGCAAGGAGAGTAGACCTGCTATCCTTTTCCAGACCTAGGAAAGGAGGAAAAGAGCACAAGGACAGTGTTAGCTCAGCCTGTTTGATACTCAGGGCAGGCCTCTTCCACTTGCCTGCACCATGATGTAGCAACAGTTATTCTTACACAGTGGATTCTCATATATATACATATACAGTAAATTTTCATGTACACAGAGAAGTACTAGGAAAAAAAAAAAAGCAAAGACTGACGGTAGATTTTCTTTGTGGGAGCAATTTCTTTTTCTGGTCTGTAAGTATTTGACAGATAAGAAATATATTCATACATCCACTATTCCTCATTACCTTTTCTGCATTTCCCTGCTTCTAATAAGTATAAATAATTTAATTTTTTTCAGAGTGTGAACCCATATCTGCAAGGACAGCGATTGGACAACGTTGTAGCAAAGAAGTCTGTTCCACATTTTTCAGATGAAGACAAGGATCCTGAATAAGTACAATAAAAATGAATGATGAAAACTCATGCCATCCTCCACTAGATCGTAATATTGCTTATATATATAATAATCTATTAAAATCCTTGTGAATGGCAGCATGTTTATTATTTATATAATTGCAGATGAAAAACAGCTGTATTTATAACAGTATGTTCTCCTAGATAACAAAAATACGGTTCTGTTTTTTGTTAAGCTATGGTAAAAGGACATTTCTGTTATTTTTATTTTAGTCATGGAGAAAACTTTTAAAATGTTCGTCATTTTAATAGCTAATGTGAGGTAAATGGTCTTAATGAGAAACTTGTAAATAGGAAGATGTTAAAAAAAAAAAAAAAAAAAAAAGCCCTGTCTGACTTTAGCATTTAATCTTAAATGTTACTATGTTTGACACATGAAAATTATAGTTTTATGTTTTGTTCACAAATATTGTTACTTAGCAAAGACAAAGTATTTATCTTAACCAGAGAATTTTGGCTTTCGGTCTATTTTAATAAACATTTAAGCAATCTACAAGGTTTGCAAAGTGACGTTTTCCAAAATATTTCATAGGCTCATCCGTCTCAGTTATTTCTGTGCAAGTTTAAGAATTAAAGAGCTGCTTTTTGCATCCATCCACTCGAATACTTTTGTTAGTTTTAATCATTCCTTGTCCCCAAACCTCTTGCACATATTCCTTCTTTATCAAGGAGAATTAATCTCCCCCTCTGCTCTTTTGCCTTAGCAGCAGCATTTGTGCTTTATGAAGTGCTTAAATTAACGACCCCAGGATGCGATAAGTGAAGACAGAGGCCGTTATCTGTGTTAAGAAGGATGCATCAGCATCCTTTGAATGCAGACCCAGGATGTGAAGGTCATTGCAGCTGATGGTCTGAAAAACTGTGGTAGTCCATAACACTGGTAGCTACAGCTGCTTTGGAAGTCACTATAGGAAACTGATACTGCTCTTCTGCTAGGAGAAGCAGAAGAACTTTATATGGCAGCAAACTGAGGTCTGGCTTTCTTGAACATAAGAATATAAAATCAAATACGATTTTTTCTTATTTTCAGGATGCATCTGAAAACATACAGGCCAAACAAGCTATATACATGTGGCACTGGAACAGCATTAGCTTACAGCTTTGAACTTCAAATCTATGAAAAAAAAATTGTATAGCTTCTTTTCCTGTCCTACAAAGAGACATAGTAAAATAACAGTGATCTTTTAGATAAAACAGATAAGACTAACGGAAACCAAAGGTCCTAGCTACATATGATTTAACAACGTCACAAATATGACTGCACAGCACTTGCTTTTTCTGTCCTACCAGTAAGTAACTCATAATAACTGATGCATGCAGGGAGTCATTCCTCAAGTTATTTACGGGTGGATTGCAAAACTCAGCACTATTCGAGGCTGAACTATAATATCTTTCATCTTATTTTCACTTAAAAAAAAAAAAAAGGAAGGGAAAGCTAAGAGTGGGCTTTATAACTGCACATGGCATGAAACTGAGTAGTTTCTAGGAAATGCTGAGCTCCTTCAGCTTTCAGTGCCTCAAAGCAGGGCAAGAGCAGGCCAGTTGCTTGTGGGGTAGGACATATCTTCTATGCTTATTTCTATCCACACTCCCATTCAATGTTCACTCAGGTATTGGGAGCTACGGAAAAGCAAAGATTGCCTCCAGAACAGAAAGGACTATATAATGGCATGAACCTGAGATCTGATCACCAGAGATCATGGTACCACAGTGGCCACAAGAAGCCCAGATTGTCATCCACATCTTCTGACCCCAGCCAGCCCTGCTACTGCTACAAAGGATTTTGGTTGGTCAGTGGCTCCACTGCTCTAATTCCAGCATTTCCTCAGCTGCACAACTCTTACCTACTTTTAAAGACACTTAAGTTACACCGTGTCCTTGTTATCTACAGTAAAAGCCATTTTAATTACAAAAAAGAAAAAAACATGATTTTTTTTTTTTTTTTATATTTTTTTAAAGCTTTTAGTATGGACCAGTGCAAAACAAAAGGATAACTATATGGTAAATATATGGCAAAAAAAAAAAAAAAAAAAAAGGGAGGGGCAAAGAGTAATTTATTCTTAATAGTATCAGAAGTGCTCCAATTGACTTCTGTAAGTCAGCTCACAGCACTTGCTGGCACTGCACATCACCAGTGCTGAGGAGCTGCCCTTCCACCTATGTGCACACAGAAGGAAAAGGAAAGTTACACACTTACAAATATTTTTGAGATATTTTTGTCTCAAAAACAAGCAAAACAAAAACAAAACATCAGCAACAAAACAGAAAAAAAAACCACCTATCTTTATGTTGCACAATACAATGATGTGTTTTACAGGAACCATCCACAAGAAGAAATCAAATGCAGAGCCATACCAGCCACAGTCTGAGTCCATCAGGCAGCTTTAGTATTCATTCACATAGGCTCAGTAGCACTTCTGTGAAATACTGATAAAGTACAGCTATTGCACCATAATGGAATACATCAACCTCATTTTGGTTCCATATTGGAGCCACCTTTCTTAACTGGGATAAGTAGTTCTGTATTCATTAAAAAAAAAAAAAAAAGTCAAAAAAAATGTTCTGTCGAATGCTTTCAACAGCAGTCCCAATATTTTTATGTAGTTTTACACAAAGAATCACAGTGCTTGTCTTTTGGGATCAGGGAACAAAGATGGCAATTATCTCCTCTATAAGAGCTTATGACACCAAAAATCATTCAAAGAGGCAAAAAAAGTTGGTCATCTCTCACAGATGTAATCATCCCTGTGTACACTCATTGTGTACATGAATTAAGTGGCTTGAACATACCTATAGTCATTTAGAATTTTCATTATTTAGGAAACAAAAAAATTAAGATCTTTTTTAATAAAACAAGTGTTTTAAGTACCTATCACACATTGCAGACAATTTGCTGAAGGAATCTATGCAAAATAACAGGATTCTGTTGGCATGTCTGCATTCAGCTAACAAAACCATGCTGTCTGTCTGCATCGTACACAGGATCATTAAGTAAAGTCAATCTGAATCTTATCCTATTGAAATACGGTAAACAAATTTAATCTGCAAAACTGATGAAGACATTGGCAGAAAGATAAACACCACCAAGCCAATTAAGCTTATGGATTTGCTGTGGATAAAGCAACATTCAAGCATCTTATTATTCCAAATGTCAGAAGCATGGGAAGAAGAATTTAAAAGAAAAAAAAAAAAAAAAAAAAAAAAAAAAAGGAGAGTTGAGCTGAGGCTCTCAAACCAGATCTGTAGCTGGTAGCAGCATGAAAGAGTTGAGAAGGCTTTGTTTTCATTTTCATTCTGTACAAAACCCAAAACCAAATGTTTCAAGCATATAAATTTGTTCAAAAAAGCCTGCAGCAACACCAACACAAAACAAAGTTGTATGCTTCTGGCCTTTTGGCTTGTAAGCTTGTTAAACCAAGTCTTACCTCTTTTGTAATGCTTTCCTGTGAATTAATTTTCAAGCAGATACTTCTTTCTTACATGCCAGTCTGGAATGTAAGAATTGTGAAGATACAGAGTTCAAAGATGGTGACTTCTCAGCCAACTTCACAGACTTAGATTTGTGGAAGGAGAAAAGGAAAGTGGGCAGATGCTACAACCATCTTCTACACAGAAATGTAAACTGTATAAAGGCAGTTTCACATGACTCACAGATAGATGAATGGGCTTGCTGCTTTATTAGCAGCAGTTTTATTTGGATTCATGCAAGCACCTTCAGTAATCTTAAAAGATGTTCAGGAATCATTTCAAACCATGAGACTTCTTTTTAAATAATTAACACGTCCCTTAAAAGGTCTTGCCTGCTCACAGTGCCTAGAGCCAAAGGCATACTACAACCATGAGCAAAAATGGCAAGTTCTCTTAAAGTGCTCAGTTGCTGGCAGTGATGCACTTACTTAGATGCAAATGAACTAAAAACTAAACAGAAATTATAAGAAAAGGGTGTAATTGCCATCATGAAGGGCCCAATGAACAACAAATGGTATTAAAGCATTTTATCCTAAACCAAGCTGCCTGAATATGAGATAACGAAAGAGTTAAAGGACCGGTTCTCAAGTACATACATGGTTGAGGTCTAGCACACTCAAGCCTTCTGCTGTTTGGTGAAGAAGGGGGTTGAATTCCAGTTCATGATCCTAATTCACCACAAGAAGTATGTAGTATCTACTCACGTTTTTGTTTTGTTTTTTTAAAATGATGCTAACTGCTTTGCTGTGATTCTATGAATCCTGTGAATAGCTGCTGGCCATGTGCGTAACACATGGGAGCACAATAAATCTTAAACGATGCGAATATCATGGCAGCAACATTACCAATTGGGACTGAGACAGCTTAAAAAAAAGTGTCACTAACATCTATGTTTATGAGAGAAGTTTGGAATTGAGAATAGCTTCAAAAGTTAAAGACCTACTAGACCTGAACCATCTTTTCTCTTTCCCCTAATTCTTGTCATCAAAAGACATGAATACAGCTCTCCTTATGACACACAGGTGTATTTTACATGTAATTGTGTTTCTTCAACCTACTTTGCTCTCCAAGAACAACAGTAGTGAAAGTCAGTGGCGATGTTTCATTGTAAATGGAGCAAGGCAGAGGAGAATGCACAAATTCTCCTTCTTTCCTTAACTGGCATCATCCATTTACACACCATTTCAAATGCATAAACACTGACTGCTTTCATTCCAGATCTTTGTCCCAACCTAATAACCACATGACAATGTAAGTTTTGAGAGCCACCAAAGTTCTCCCTTACAGATAGGTTAGGGGGCTTCTTTTAGATCTGAGCATCTTATTATTTAAGAGTTGCTCACAGGAAGGGCATACAGTTTCAATGCTGAAATAAAGTCAGTCTTAACTTACTTTAATTAAATCTTCATTCTGAGAAGCAAAAAAACAACAAACAAACACAACACCACCACAAAACAACCAAACCAACCTAACATACGCAGTTCTTCAGTGCACTGCCTACATCCTAGTGTCTAAAAACCATCTAAAAGTGCCTGAAGTTCAAGTGGGATAAACCTCATAGGTAAGTGTGGTCCAGAGTCACACTGTTGTAGGCAGAACATCTTTGCATACTTAGGAATAAAAGAAATTGCCACACTGTGGCATTTTGTATTTCCAAATGAACAAAACATACCCATAAAAGAAAAAAAGACAGGTCATCCAGAGAAAGGCTAATAATTCATTATTGGTTAATTTTGATTTTGTAATTAATTTATTTTAAGAACACTGCAACCACAAACAAAGCTGATTGCAAAATGTTCAGGGGCTCCAGTGGACAGCATGATGGCTGTGAGACTTATGATCCTCAGAGCTGTGTTATTGCAATTGAACTAACAAGATCATCCTTACTGCTGCATAAAATACTTATCAAATAAGAAGAGACATAACTGATTTCAGCAAGTTCTTAAAAAGTCATAATTCTGACAGACAAACATTGCTGTCAGTTTACACACAGTCCACAGCTATTGTTTAAATTCCCAAACAACTCTCTGACCCAGCTGCCCCAGGGCTACTTGCATATGCAGGTACTGTGCATGGAGTTAAAAACACAGAAAAGTTAGCCCAGCCTCTGATTCCTTCTAGCTTCTCCACGCTATTCTCCATTTTTGCTGCAGCCTTTTTGAAGACTTGTCTTCAGGGGTTCTCACAAGAACAAGTTATCCAACATGCAAGCTATGTGCGCACATTTCTTTCAATTTAAAATATGCAAATTATTTCCCGCTCTGATAGTTGAGGTGATTTTCTAGTTTGTGTCTAACAGCACTGACTGTGTATGTATTGACATGCTGTGCTTTTATGTTCCCAGCATCAACCCGTAAGCCATCAAAATGACAAGATTTACCCACAAACATGAAGATAACACCTTCATAGATAGTCCCTAAAACACTGATTGCTCCACAAAAACCCATTGCGTCTACACTGTTGTACATCTGCAACAGATGGTAGAACAGAAGTGAAGAGGTTGAGGGTCAGATCCACTTAAACCTTAAGTATCCACACTGCAGCTGGTGTGGAACACAAATACCAGAGAACATGATCTTCAGATCCTGCCTCCCTTTCCCATTCCTTAGGCAGCTTAAGTCTATGTATACCTACGCTTTCTTGTCAATAAAGTACCTCAGGCATCTAAATGCTGTCAAGAACTCTGTGTGGCACCTCTCACCTCAGTCTAAGGTGAATGTGTAGCATTTGGACTGTGGGGCAGCACTCCAGAAGTGAGGTCTTTGGGTTTCTGTAAGAATGCTATGTTCAGCAAGACTAGGGAATTACTAAGAGTCTACTTACCCGACTGCATTCTTCATGCTAGTAACTTAAAATTGTTAGCACATTCTGCATTTAGGACTCTACTTCCTTTAGGGAGAAATACTAAAGCGTTTTTCAAAGCTCTCACAAAAGATGATGATGGTATATGCAAATAAAGTGTGATCTAGATGCCAAATAAAGCAAACAACTTGATTTGACATATCAAAACATAAGTATTTGGTTTTCCAAAATACTTCTCTGAACCAGAAACAAAGAAGTTACATTTGGCTACAATGACTTTATCTAGGAAGCAAGTTTCGTTACACTCAATCCCAGCAGTCACTTCCTCTCAGAGCTCAACAAGTTGTCCTATCTCTTTCCATTGTATTATAGAAGTGCTTTATGACTCCAGAAAAATCCAGGTGATGGCACAGACTTATCTCAATAAACTACAGCAAGGAGAAAGAGATACCTCTCTGGTACATTTTTTATATCACAACAGCTGTCTCAATGAAAAAAATCTCAGCCTACAGGAAAAACATTGACAAAACAAGTCATAAGCTCTAAATCTAAGACTTCATTCTATTAAAAAGCAAGATTTCTTCTTTGCCTCACACCAGAGTAAGACGTCACATTCATTTCTTGTTTGCTTGGGTTAGCAACAGGGACCTATATTTTTAGAAGTGCATCTGATAGCTCTTGATGACGCCGGTTGCAAGGATTCCTTCCTCTAAATGCTTTCATATATTTTTCAAAAGGAAAAATGTATTTTTTTTTACTGTGAATTTATATGCTCATTTTGAAACCATGACAAGAAATAATAATACCTCCTTCACAAAGAGTCTCATTCCATCTGGTTCAAGACCAAAAAGCCCTGCCACAGTGTGATCTGAAGTGTAATTGATTTGGTCACTTGCAATTTAACTTCTTCGCTTACGTCTTTAGTGCATTAAGATTTCCTGTTTACATTTCCAGACTTTTTAAAAGTGCATCCAAATGCTCCAAGTGTTTGGTGTCTGATTAATTGCGAACACCTAGAAGAAAGCTCCTGAACTATTCAGAGCCTCTCCTAACACCAAGTGATTTTACTCATTTCCAGGCACACTGCTAAATGTAAAAAGAAATAGAACTTAAACTGCAAATGAAAGCAGCTGATGAATTTATAGATAGTGCAGTTAGTTACAGAACATAGGATGACAGCTCTTCCATGACTTTGAACAGCTCCAGAAAAAGGGGAAGAATGAGGTCTGGTGTAGCTATATTTGGGGAATAAAGTAAAAGAACTTGAAAAATGCTAATTAGAATTCAAGATACTGTAAGAAAGGGAAAGATCAATGAATAAATATCCAACTGCCCTTAGCCAAACAGGCTGAACAGGATACTTCTGACAAGGAAACAGAAGAAGCAAAACAGAGCCGTTGGAAATATCAGGACAAGAGATTTGGCCCTACATTTGCCTGTGTAGTTTCCCAGAACTGATTTCTTTGGCAATTTTTGAAAGAGTAAATTTTTGGTAACCATACAGACAAAAAATATAGACTTTTTGTGCATTTTGTTATTACTGCATTGTACTGTTATTTCTTCAGCTTGCAAAGTTTAAAGTTCTAATATACACACTTACAGAAAAAGGCATAATACATCACTTCGGGTCCTTTCAGAAGGCTCGCCTGACTCAAACCCCTGGGATTTTCGCATGCTCTTCACTTCATACTGTCTGAATAGATCACTGAAAACAAAGGCAGGCATCTGGCAGGCCCCTAGAGGACTGGGGTCTCAATCTGTTAAAAAAAAAAAAAAAAAAGAATTAAAAAAAAAAATGAAAGTGTGTACACAAGTCCACCTTACTCAGCAAAGCACTTAAATGTGTGTTTGCATATATACGTATAGTTGAAATGCTGTTCAAATCAACACAGCTTGCTGGGTTGCTGCCTTATCTTCAGCAGTTCTTTTAGATAACCACAAGCAGTTAAAACACTTCTTTGTCTGCCTGTAGATTTTTTTTGTCCACAGCAATGAAAACTTGGCTTATTCTCTGGAAATAGCTTTTTTTTGTGTGTGTGTGTGTGGAGAACTGCAGAAATTAGAAGGCCTTCTTCCCCATTTAAAGCTTTTAGAAATTTAGAAATAGATGCATTCAGGCACGGAAACACCAAAGGTAAAAAGAAATTACAAATTGTCTTTCCATATTGATGTGAACCCCTGGCTTCTCTTACTATAATTAACTGCTTATTTCATTGTGAGCTTGGTACTGAACTAGCCTTAATGATTTACACCAAAACAATTCTGGCTCCTTGAAAAACTCTTCTCCCTATCACAGGGGAAATGGAGGCATGAGAAAATTGCTGTGAGTGAAGGGAGTGGGAGGGTGCTTATGCCTCTTATGTGTCATTGTCTTGACACGGAGACCATCCAAACACAATATGGCAGTGAGGACAGGCTCTGTTTCCTACTACCTCTTCCCTAGGAACATGTTACCATTCACTCAGAGAAGAGTATGAACACAATGGTTTCACAGAGCTCTGTCCTTCCCGTAACACAGCAGTTGTGTTTGTCTCACTGCATTTCAAATATAAAGGGCAGAAGTTGCACACGGGCTGAATAAGTTGTTGTCGCAGCCCAAAGGGAGCTGACATTCCTTCATTCCTGCAAAGCCACTTCTTTATCCGGCATTCTGTTTTTACCTAGGTATTGCCAGGAAAAACAAAAACAGATAAGATGTGAATTTTAAGAAGCAGGCAATGGGAAAGCAGACAGTCCAAATTAAAAGCCTTATGAACTCGCATACATCACGAAACATTTCTCCTGCATTTGTTACTCCTTTTTCTTTCGCAACAGGCAGCAAGTGGCAGAGCCAGGAGAAGCCGAGGTTTCAGCTTCCACTTCCACTTCACCTAAGTGCATGGCCAGCATTACACTCTGAGGTGCTGCACCAGAGTGCTGCACAGAGGTCCCAAACTATTATACAGAGCTCTCATTCTGATCTCTGCAGAATGGTTGCACCCCAGGTACAGGTGCAAAGCACTGCTCAGCACCACAGCAGGGTGCCACTGCCCTGCCAGAACTGCCCGTGGCACATCTATACATGTTCTGAAAGCACATGCAACCTGAGATACTGTCACCAACATATGGGATGCAGCACCGCGTGGGAAGGAATCAGTTCATTTTGCAGAATAACTGGAAACTCTATTTCATAGCTGTCATGTCATGGAGTGAATAATATGTAAGCAAACAAAACCCCAGGCTCTTTCGATGCCTCCTTCCTAATACCCAGCTTTAACAGCTTTAAACTATAAGGGCTTCTGAGCTCCAGAGTGCTGAGTGGAGTCACCTACTGGCATGCTGCTCCAAAACCATCCAGAAAGCAGAGCCCATCAGCAGACACCTCCCCCAGATCTTGCAGGCAGTCCTGCCATGAAGGATGTGTAAAGCAAATGCAGAAGGGAAGAAGAATCTTTCAGAGTTATTTTATGGCTTTCATTTTCTTGGCAGATTTTTCTCTAGCCTTCAAATACCAAGGATATATTTAAAAAAAAAAAAAATTAAAAACTGTGGAAACAGAAATAAAAGGTAAGTCTGACCAATTACATTTCTTCATTCGGTATGAAAGTTTATACTTGTTCAACAGTCAAACTTCATCTTAATAAAATAAGCTTTTCTAAATCACTTTTGAAAAATAGTCACATATGGGATGCATTACATACATAGGTGTTCTGAGGCCAGAAAACATATTTTTATTCTATGTCTGCAGCACATAGTGCTGTGGAATTCTGGTGAGTGACCATGGCTCCTAGTGCAGAGAACATTACAAGCACACAACCTGACTGTACACATATTATATTTGAAACAAGAAAGCTTTTCAGGCATACCAGGACACCATTCTTTTCAGAGCTGAAGAAGATTTTAAAGTGCTTAAAGTGAGCGATTTTATCTCGAAGCAATTTATACTTTGGATTTCCTATGTCCTATTTCTGAGCACTTGCAAACGAAATGCAGGTATATGTCTAGATGAAGTGATATTTTGAAAAAAAAACAAAAAGCAATAGCAAAGTCAAAATAATTCATTAAAAAAATATAACTGATGAACACCAACAAACATTTCCCCTTGCTTTATTTTTCGTCATTCTGTTGATGAAAATCTATACACTAAAATAATGATGTTCTGTCAGTCTAAATGGGAAGCATAATCCAGAGACTGATTATCCAGTAGGCTCTATGAAAAATTTATCATAATTCACACTGACCTCATCTTTTCATATATTATTTTATACTGTTTGACACAAAGTAAAATTTTGAGATAAAGTTCTCTAAGCTATACCTCTATGAAGGTTTTTTTTTTTTTTTTTTTTTTTTAAAAAAAAAAAACATAGTAATCCCTACCAGAACAAACAGTAAAATGTCTGAAAGAGAACCACTGGACTGGTACATTAATAAAGTGCTCTGAAAGCACAGGAAATCTTCCCTTACTTTATGTCATTTATTACTCTTTGCCTACTTAAATAAAATGTTTGAAATAAAAAGCGAAAACCCTTTTCCATGCTGACTGGAACTGATGGTAACAGAAAAATCAGAATCATTAAGGCTGGAAAAGACCACTAAGTTTATCTAGTCCAGCCATCAGCCCATCATCACCATGCACACTAAACCACATCCCTCAGTGCCATATCTCCATGTTTCCTCACCAGTGCGAATAAGAGAGACCATCACCTCCCTTTTCCTGCTGACTACATTAGTTTTGAGACAACCCAGGATGCCACTGGCCTTCCTGGCTACCTGGGCACCTTGTTGGCTCATGTTCAGCTGGTTGTCAAATAACACCCCCAGATTCTCTTGCTTACACATTGCCTTCCTTACATCACTCTGGGCAGAATACTCAATATGCACCTGCAGACAGCCTTGCTTTCGCATGGATCACCCTTGAGGTGCTGCTCATCTCACCCCTCTTGGAAGTCAGTAACCAGATGTGTTCACTACCCAAAGGATACAGTACCCATAAAACAAAGACACCTTTCATCTCTGTGAGCATGCCCTGCAAGCCAGGCTCCTCTACAGATCACACACCCTCCAGCGTAGCTGGGAACATACATGCCCAGCTTCCAAACGCCAGAGCTGATGGCAAGTTCAAAGGGGAAAGTTATGGTGGTATTGGAAGCTTAGATTAGATATTAGGAAGAAGTTTTTCACTCAGAGGTGGTAAAGCACTGGCACAGGTTGCCCAGAGAAGCTGTGAATGCTCCATCCCTGAAGACATTCAAGGCAAGGTTGGATGGGTTCCTGGGCAGCCTGAGCTGGTGGGTGGCAAACCAGCCCACAACAGGGATTGGGACTAAGTAACCTTTATGGACCCTTCCAACCCAAGTCATTCTATGGTTCTATCATTCTATGAGACTGAGAATAAGGGAGTGAAACACTTAGCAAAAGATTTGCACAAGCACCTCTCTAATTCTAAAGAGCAAAAAGCGTAGGTGGACATCACTACCTTCATATTAGCAGAACATGAAGGGATATGGATGCATACATTCCTATTTTCTGCTTCAAAAGCAGATTGGCTTGGAATTACTGTTCTTGAATGTTACTGCCAGAGAAGACATTTCTCATGCTGCTGCTAAATAAAAAATATAGAAAACATCAGTGAGTTTGTCATCAGTAGCTAAGTTTCATGCACACTTTTAGCTCTTCCTCTTAACTGAGTGCCATACATATGGCCCTGCACATCACACTCCATTCCCTGCAGCAGGGTTGTCCAGAGCCCAGGTGAGGTGCTCATTCTCCTGCCTTCCCTGACCTGGAGGGATGTGCCCAACTGTGTTGGGATTTGGGGTGCACTAGGGCCAGCTCCTCCACTGACAGAACTCATGAAATCTCCCTGAAGTTATTATAAGTGATTACGATGCACTCAAGAGGAGGATCTGGCCCCAGTCAGGCCCTGGCTCCTCTGCAAAGGCTTTTAATGAGACGCCAACTGCTCTGGCAGGGAGGAGGCACTGAGTAGAGCTCAGAGGCAGTGGTAGCAGACAGGAGCTCAGCCCAATAACATTCTTCTATGCAAGAATTAAGTACAGCACTTCTTTTAAGCTTAAAACAATTGTTACTGTTCTACTAAAACAAAGAACAACTCACACGCTAAATACCAGCAAGAAATGGGAAAGGAAATGAAACAAACAAAACAAACCAACAAAAAAAAGCCATCAGCGAGCAGGAAGCTGGATCCAGACAGGCTGGCAGTACGTGCTGCCATAACACCATGGCATTGCTTCTCTTCAGCCCCAAACTCTGCCACAGAAAACTTACGTAGCCACACAGGACTCCCCTATACTAACCACTCAGTGCAGAACGGCTACAGCTGACAGCACTGCTGGGCCTCAGCACAATGCCAGGCACACCCACTACCTTGAAGAGAACCTTATCTCTGCTCAGGGTCTGACAGCAAAGTTCCATTCAGACTGGGAGCACTGTTCTACAGAACCCTGCAGCAGAAGGGATACAAATTTCTAAGCTAGAGATGATCTGGATACCTCTTGCTAAAAACACAGTGAACAAAAAAAAAAAAAAGCTTCTCCCTACCTCAACCACAAAGAAATAAACATAGGCATAAGTGATTCTTCCTTTCTGCCACCTGTTTTGTACCTCTACCTTCATTCACCTGATGGAAGCAGGTATGGCTACAGCCATTTGCCTTCATGGTCCACCAGCAGCAGCCCCAGTGTGGCTCTAGGGCCCAGCCTAGCCCTAAGGTTATTCAGAGACACAGAACATGGGGGATCAAGGCCCCCTGCCCCTCACAGCAGTACCACCAATATGCTTCACAAAGGAGAAGCACATAAAGGCTGCGAGCACACTGAGAGGTGGGAATCGTGACTCTCTCTCCGGATTCAGAAAGAAGGACCCCAGCTAATTAAAAACATCCATGAAGTCTAATAGCGCTTTTTTGGAGCAAAATAACAAAAAATCCTAAAAATTCCCTAGGCCTCTCTTTCCATCCATCTAGATGTCACTTACTATGATTCTCTGCCAGTAGTCCTTTCCCTCTTCATTGTATTTGAACTGCAGTGCCCCCGCACACCAGCACATTTTTGCTCTCATGCTGCCATCAACCATGGCACGGCTGCATCCTCTACAGCACTTCTATACACTGTTGATCAAGGAACAGAGAAATTCTTTCTTACCAGGCTATCACCAAATACATGCATATGCAAAATAAAGGGTAATAATTTGCCAGCACACTGAGAACTCACCTTTATAGCTGGCACTAAATGCAGCCCTAATAAGGAGCCAGCTGGTGCTAAGAGCTCTGAACAATCAGCACCTGGCATACTGCCTGGGCTTGGCATCCTTAAAGCAGCAGATCCTTTTAGTTTAATTTCAATACGTCCTCCCCATCTGCAAAAGTGGGGATGATACAAATCTGTTTGCTAGAGCTGCACCTCTCTTCAGCCCTGAGGTGAGGCCACCGAGATGCCTCGTCGTTCAGGTTCACGTCAGAAAACAGGGACACAACAGCAGACGGCTGCAGCAAGACCTGCAGTGAGATGCCAGTGGGCAAGGGGAGCCGTAGCTGGGCGGCAGTGGGCAGCAGGACCTCTAGCCGGGAGGAGCTCCCGGCCCCGACAGGAGAGCAACTCCAGGATGACAACCTCGCGGGATGTCCGAGGTGCCTACTGCTCTCCGAGAGACCAGCAGGAGGGGAAAACGCCCACCCGAGGTGTCCTGCCTGTTGTAGGCAGTTGGAAAAAAGAAAAAAAGAAAAAAAGAAAAAAAAAAAGGCTTTCAGTGATAGAAGAGCTACGAATGCAGCTTTCCCTCCACCTTTTTTCTTTTGTTTGTTTATTTGCCACACTTTTAGAAGCAAACCTCACACCTCAGCGGGTGGCAGTGGGGCCAGGAAGGCCGCTGCCTCCCTCCTGCCGGAGCCGGCCGCGTGCGGGCTCTGCCCTGCGGGACCGCGGCCCTGGGCAGCGGGAATGGGAAGGGAGCAGGCGGGGCCGGGGGAGCTCTTCTTAAATGTCATACTTTAACGAGGATGGAAAATGTGATTTTTCTGTACGTTCCAGATAAAATTCCTTGGGGTGGTGACCTTTAGCAGCGATTCTCTTAAGAGAGGAAAGTAGTCGAGTGTTTATCTGCACGCCCGAGAGCTTTCCCTAGTGGAAGTTTATGGAAGTGTTAAAGGGGGCGGAGGCGCTTGTCCAATGATCTGGAGGGGCTTGGAGCGGAGACCTCAGCTGGGAGACATTTAAATGGGAGACAGCTCGGCGCTGCTGCAATTTGTAGGCAGGATCCCAGCCTCGCCCTCTATGGACTGCTGGGTGGCTGCGGGCTCCCACGCCTCCCGCTCCGCCGAGTGACCCGCAGCATTCAGCCCCACTGCGTCCCGCCGAGGAGCCGCCGCCAAGCCGGGCTCCCGAGGAGCCACCACGCAGGTGAGCCGGCCGCTGCTGAGCCGGGCCGGGCCGGGCCGAGCTGTGCATTCGCAGCGGGTGCACAGATTGGTCCCGCTTGGCCAGTCTGTGCGGGAGGCAAAACTGTAATGCCTTTCTCCTACCTCCGGGGTGCGGGCAAGAGGAGGAGTCGTTCGTCAGTGCATGGCTGTGCTCTTGGGCGTGCGGAGGTGCCACCGGCTCGCCTGTCAGAGCCATAGGGCTGTCACTAGCTTTTCCGCCGGGGATCGGGGCGCTGTGACATCTCTCTCCCCTGACAGGCGCGGGGATTGCAAAAGCTTCTCATCTCCGCCTACAGCATCACTCCCAACAAATTGGATGCGGCGCCCACCCGACTCACGGCGAAATCCCGGCCCGGCCTCTGCGCGGAGCGGGTCGAGGGCAGATCCAGGTGCCGGCCTCGCCGTTGCCCGCCCTGGCCCGTTCCATCCCATCCCGTTCCTCCGAGCAACCCCGCTCCGCGTCCCCTCCCGGCCAGGTGGCGTGAGACGTCGGGGCCGCGCAGAGCAGGCGGAGGCCAAGTTGCGCGCTCGCGGGCGACTACGCGTGTCCTCGGGCGGGAGGAGCGGCGGTATGTCCGCCGTGCGCAGCGCCACTTTGCTTTCCGCCGGCTTTGCTTCGCCGCCCCGATAGCTCCGGCCGTCCTTCTGCCGCAGCGCTCCCCGTTACTGAGAGGCCTCGTCCTGGCGGAGCTGCCGGCCTCGACGTCGGGGCCGCCCTTGCCGAGCGGGACGTGAGCCCTGCCGGCGTGGACGGGGCGAACGAGCCACCCGGCCGTTTCGGTGCGACCTCTCGGGATCCGGGGACGAGGCTGCGCGGTGGCCGGCGCCCGCGGAGAGGTCTCTGCCGGTGCCGCCACCGTTCTGCGGGTCAGACGGCCTCCCTGATGCGACGGGAGCGCCGCGACGGCGGGCTGGCAAAGTGCGCGGCCCTGCATATCCCGCACCCTGCTCCTGGGGGCCGTTGCATCTCGTTAGCTGCCGGTGCGCTGCCCGTGGTTCCTCCCTGCGGCTGCGGAGAGGGGGAAGGCTCTGCAGGAGGCGGCAGGCGCCAGGTCCGCGCTGAAGTCTCCGCTCGGGACGGGGTACGGAGCTCCCTCGGGTCTCAGACAGCGCGCACGGCCGTGCCCTGTCTCTCCTCCTGAGGGTTCAGTCCTAAGCTGTGCTAAAGCTAAGCCTTTCTCCCGGTGAGGTTGTGTAGAAATGCGTGGCGTTTTCCGAGACGTTTCTTAGTGTCGTTGCACAGCACTGTTCCCAGGGCCCGGTGAGCAAAAGTTTCCGGAGGGACTGCACTCTCGTAGTGCGGCTGGCAGTTGCGGGGCCGCCCCGACGTGCGTTGGTAACTCCGTGCACACGCCGTGTGCTGCTGCTTGCGGCCCCTGCAGAGAGATACCTCTCTAGAGGAGGTTTCTCCTTTTTTTTTTTTTTGTTCCTCGTGGTGCTGCCCACACGAATTAAACGGCTCGAAAAAGGAAACTCTGTGACTCACGTGAAGGAAATGTAAATGTACCTAAACTCTACCAAAGAGCCATATTAGCTTTGCCATCTTGGTCTGAGGGGAAAAAAAAATTTAAAATGGGTCTATGGGAACTGCTGTTGTTTTGCCTTCTTGTATATTTAAAAATACAGATCTATAACTATGAAAACATTACATAAGACTATTTCTGTAATTCATATGTAATAAACCAGGCAGAAAATCATTCTGATCCACTGGGACATAACCACTTTGGTTTTCTCAATAGCCAGTGTTGTGTTTTGCCTCTTTGCTTGGCTGCTATTTGAAGCCCACCATGCACATTTATTTTTCTAGGTCTTCAGCAGATTATTTTTCATGCTTTCTGTCAAGCACATGAACCCGTGGCTCATCAGAATATTTTCCCAGTGAATATGGCTTGCAGATGAAATGCTGGGCCTGCAGAAAGCTGTGAGAATTTGCGCATTTCAGTGGAGCTGGGATTCCACCCAGCGCTTGTAAATGCGTCGCTGTGTGCACAGCATTTCAGGGGTTGCTTTGTGGCTCTGCCTGGGAACTCATAGGAAAGCGCTGTTTAAATACTGACTTTTGAAAGTTAAATTACAGTAGAAAATGTATAAGCTAAAAAATGACTGCTTAATGTATTGAGCAGTAAACCTGAAACAGTTTACACTCCTCTGTGAATGGTTGCAGGTATTAATCTGCAGGCATCCTCATCTGCCATCAAATGATTGGATCCTAGTTCCAGATAATCCCTGTGTGAGGGGATTTGAATGGTTGGGTCCAATTCTGCTCCCGTTTGAAGTTAGCAATAAAACTGCTGTTCGCTACAGGACTGAGTGCTTGCAGATGATGATGAGGAAGAAAACTCGGGAAATACGGAAAGATTTCTGAAGTATTTTGTTACTTATTTTAAATATTAATGATATCGGATCTCTCACTGGATCTGAATGAAGTAAGTGGGATGCAAATGAAGTGTTTTGTTTGTGGTCATCTGTTTATTCGAAGAATTCTCAGCTGAGTTCTCAGAAGGATTTCTGATCACACTGCTGCTTCTACAACAGCCCATATTAAGCACAGAAAGTTTTGCAGAAATTTAGCATTTATGTGCTTTTACAGCCTGATTCTTCACAGCTCTTACCAGGCTTCAGAGCTATGACACATTCAGAATTATGGCTATGACAAGGCAAAAAAAAAAAATAAAAAAAATCCCAAACCATCTACTTCTGCATGTTTTACCCAAAGACTTCCTTTGGGTAAAACCTTGGGCATGGTAACATGGATTGAGCTACTTGTGCTGTTTGTGGGTTGATTGTTTTTTTTTTTTTTTTTTTTTTTTTTTTTTAAGTAATAAAAAAGCTTTTGAGGAAGCTCAAACACTAAATTCACAAACACTAATTTGGGGATTGGAGATTGGATGAATCATTCTTGTTCCTAACATAAGCAGAGGTGTTGTCTTCTCTTATGAGCTCTGGGATCAGAGAGAGTGCAGATAGCAGGCTACTTTCATTACTGAGGCATAATACCTTATTTTCCTTTGTATTTTGCTTTGATTTTGGGGATCATGAAGTTAACACAGTCTCTTTGGAGGGTCTGTATTTCAATTGTATTTAGTCCTAAATAGTTGGATTATTTTTACTTTCAGATGTATATTTTGGAATATATAAAATTGAACCATAGCAAAGGGTGCTGCTGAGTTGCTAACTTTTACTTGAATCACAGTTTCTTCTTTGAGTATATAATATAGTTTCTCCCTTTACGGTTATAAACCAAGTGTCATGGTTATAAACCATGACACCAAGTCAGTGAAAAATTCTATTTCTTCCTGTTTTACAGTTATATTGGAACACATGCTTGTGTTTCCTTAGGGTGAAGCACATACTACTTAATGATGCATCAATCTGGGATACATATCTTAAAATAGTAGACATTACCATCAGATTTTCCCCAAATCACCATCCCCAAATCACTCGTTTTCACATGACTAGACCTTACATGACTATGCCATCAATTGCACATTTGTGGAAAAATGGTGGAACAGCGTGGAGATGATCTGTTATAGGAACAAAAGTAGTACGGGAATATGCGTAGTGGTGAAACAAGCACTCAGTTATGGGAAACTAAACAAACACCTGAAGTTTCCTGGCACTGCTTAGAAACTAGCAATTATTTTTGGTTGTGTGCAATGATTTTTTTCTTCTTCTAAGGTTCTGGCACCATGTTGAGTAAATAACATGCATACTGTCTAAATACAGTGTGGGTATACAGTCA